ACCAGACTTCAGTATTTACTAGCTAACCGGAGCTACAGACACGTTTTTAACGAGATTCAAAAACCATGTGATAGCTAACTCAAATTTCTACAACTTTACTGAAGACCACATTTGTAAATAATCACGTTATAGGCCTCATTTCAGAACATACATTTTGAGTATATACACAGCCACTGCATCAAAATTCTGGACGTAAACCCAACTTAGAAAAATTATATAAAATCAACTAAAACTCTAAATTGCATGATTTAAACTTTTTGTGAAAGCTTATAACATGTACTACAAGTTTCATGATGATTACATTTTCATATAGCCATACTAGAATCATCAAAAACAGCCTAACATCTTAATCACCAAACCTGCCCGGATACATAAAAACAGCATGCATGTACAACTTCACAAATTCATAAGAAATTCAAATCAACTCTAAATGACTTGATTCAAAAACTAACGGACTTCTAACTTAAATAACTACAACTTTCAAAAGACAATATTGACAAATAACAACATTATCAATAATTTTAAACACCAAACTTACAGTTCATAAAATCTGATAGGAATAATTTCATGCTACAAATAGCACCTAAATATATTAACTAAAACTCATGCTACCGAGCTCATATCAACATGTATTTTACCTCACTAGAAAGATAAGAAAGCTATCTACAACTTTTATGATGGTCACTGTTTCAGTTGAGTATTTTAAGACATGATAAACAGATCAAACATTAAGTGAACACAAGCTGCCGGGATTTTATAAAAATTGATTGCGCGATGATGTTTCGAAAATCATAACTTAATCGATATAAATCGGATTCATGAAATTCCAAAGGATAGTGAAAGCTAATGAAACGAACTACATTTCATATGAAGAACACATTTTCAGAAAACAAATGCTTGAAGTCATAACCGAGGAACCTTACCTCCTTCAAGAAGACAAAAATGTGGAGAAATGAAAGAGGTGTTGCTCGGTTCTTCTACTTCTCTTCCTATCTTGCTTGAAATGCGATTTTCTCTCTATTTGCTCAAGTTATTCAGGTTTTTAATGGTCTAATACAACTAAGGAATGAAACACAAGAACATGATAAGAGGGGACATAAGATCTAGATCCCATCTA